GTTGCACCAGGTGCAAGGCATTGGCAACACGCAATGGGGTCAGGCCGATGTCCTCAATGCGATCCAGGATATCACCGGATCAATCGATGAGAAGATGAAGCGACACGGGGACTGTGTCAAGGCGATGCAGGCTCAACTAGAGAAGATCGCTGTTCGCCTCACTCCGCCGATGCCTACTAAAGCCCCACCACCCCCGACACCGGGCTCTACAACCACTACAGCACCTACTACGGCACCTTCTGGACCGGCGTCTTCGCAGCCTGCATCGACCCCAGCTTCTAGTGCTGCGCCGCCACCAATGCCGGCGACTACACCCCAAGCTTTCGCGCCCTCACAGCCGACTGCCGACCAGACTTCGACTGCGGCTCCGATCTTGCGATAGCACGAGTCTATGCCGGCGCGCCAGCCGGTCCAGTTGTCCAATCTGCTTAGCAGTCCTCCAGGATGGCGCATGGGTCCGCAGACCTACCTCGACCCTCGCGCCCAAGATGCCTTGAACCTCATGGCTAGCCTGCTAGGTGGTGCAATGCAGTATCCGCCGCAGTAATGCAGCGGCCTGCCTCGAAGATCAAGCAAGCACGGTCTCTTTTTGTGTCTTGTGGCTAATCTTGGCTTTTTAGTCTACTTTGCTTATCCTTCTCCTGCTAGCACCGAAACTTGCTTGTGTCCCGGACATTGCATGTGCACCCTTAATTCCTAGCAATTTGTAATTGATAATTCGTAATGACAGTGGCGGCCGACTCCTGCATGCGCTGTGACAAACGAAGAATACATGCGCGGCAGGTCTGAGTCTTGAACAGTCCCTACCGAGGCCCAGCCCCCGAACCACATTTCCCCGAACTCCTTGATCTAGATTTAATTTGCCTTTCCCCGCTGACTAGACCTGATCCTGCTCTGGTCTCTAGAACCCTCCCACCCCCCAAAAAAAAACCCTCACTAGCCTCGTGTCCTCAAGTATCTAACAAGACCCCCGACTTCCCACTTTACCCCTTCCCCAGTCCCCCCGAACATCTTGCCGGACTGCAGCTCAGGCTCAGGCTCTACAGCTCCTGACTCCATACCTGACCATGGAACCGTTTGCCGAAACCCAGGACGACTCAGCACCTCTGCCCCCTCCCGATCCTGCCCAAGCAAACGACCCTGACCTTGCTCCCCAGGACGCTAGCGAGGCTGCTAACTCGAGCACTGAGGCACAATCCTCTCAGGACACAAGACGGGCGGCGACATCCCAGGACATAGAGTTAGACTCCCCACTTCCCAATAAAAGGCGAAAGCAACTGAACCCCCGGGTTAACGACCCTGAAACTCCCGACGACATCGAGTTCGCCCCAACCAACAAGTCCCTCGAAGCCCTGTCCGAAAGCTTTCTCATGAACCTCGACACCCCGGACTTGGAGGACCGCTGCTCGGCCTTAGCCCGCCTTTCGGAGGAAGTACCTAAAAAGTTCTGGGATTCTGACGAGGGTGAGAATAAGTTTCTGCTTTTGGGACAAACCACCCGACTCGCCAATGCACTCACACGTCTCTCCGACTCACATCCCGGCTTCACACAAGCTGTCTGTGCTTTCATTCGTTCGATTCAACCCGAGGAGGTCCCCTTTACCTCGGCCTCCATTAGGCTCGGCCCTGGCAAGCCATGCCACACGGATGGTCGTAACTCATGGGCTCCATCGCTTTTGATAGGACTCTCCCACTACACCAAAGGTAGAATTTGGATCGAAAACCCTACAGGCACCGTTGAGGGATGGAGACCCGGGACCGAGGACGTGCGACTCGGCAAGTTTGTTAACATCCTGCATAAGCCATGCCTCTTTAGCTCCCGAACACTCCTTCATGGCACCGAACGCTGGTACGGAGAAGAACGAAGAATCCTCACAGCTTGGGCCCCACAGATCGCCACCGGTAACCATGTATATTTCAACACTACCTTGGCACTGATGGGCTTTCGACCCCCTGCCTCCTCGCACGAACTCAACAGCTACCGACTTTCGGTGTACTACGGTGAGTATGCGGTAAAACAAACCAAGCTCCCTGCTGCCTTTGCCAGAGAACGCCTACAGGAGCACGCGAGCCTGACACAGGACTGTCTCTTCGAGATCTCCGATGGAGAGGAGGATGACTCCATTCCGGAGATTGTCTTCCAGTGACCCCCTGGTCGGACCCCGGAGCCACAAGAGGGGTGTAAGATCCCTCCCAGGCTCCTCTTTATCCTTAATTGAGCCCTGCTCGTAACGTTTCTTCACCGCGCAAGCAATATCTCTAATTCGCGTCGTCCACGTGACGCTCGTTACGCCACAGGTCCCTCGTGTAACTCACTAATTCGTAATTGCTAGAATTCCCCTGCAAGCAAAAAAAAAGAAAAAAAAAGAAGAAGCTGGTGCCCTCTCGACTCTCTCTCCCTCTCCCTTCACTTCCCCCATTGACTCCTCTCCTCATTCACAATCACCCTTCGTATATACTCCGTCAGTTAGCCGGTGCTGCCATGGATGCGCCTTTCTGACGGTACGCCTCGAACCGCGGACACTGCTGAGACTGACTCTGAGACCTTCTGGCTGGACCTGCAAGCTGGGTGTGGACTTGGCGATATACTGACCTGTTCTGCATATGATGCCCGGCATCGAAAGCAGTACTGATCACCCGCGTGCCGGTCATTCTGGCTGCTATACAAGCGAGGACTGTCCTGGCCTCGTGCACCTTGCCGGGATCTGACTTTCGAAGGTCTTTTCGGCACACCGTTTCGGAACCACAACCCATAAAGCTGCAACTGGTTTTGGCTGTGTCCTCCAGATATTCTTCTCCTCACGGAAGTTTTCTCTCCCGTCAACTGGGCATTGGACACTTGCCGCTGATGGCCCCCAGGGCACCGCTGCAACAGTTGCAGCATCAAGTTGGCAATTCCAAGACAACAGCAGCGTCTACACACGACAGCATCGCTCTTCTGCTGCTTTTCGCTCTGGACTGTGCATGGTGCTCGATGCTACTTATGGGAAAGCCACGCTGCGACAGCGGGCACAGGACCCGCACCGGCCGAAGCTGGACCGCGAAACACCGTCCTGACAATCCGCGGATGGGACCATGGACCCCTTACACGATGGCAGTCTGACGCTGATGGTCTGGCAGTGCCAGTCCTCGAACAGATGATGCGAGCCTGCATCTTCTTCTGGTCGACTCCTGAGACTTTGTCTGAGAGCATATAGGCCGCTAGCAGCACAGTTCTCCTCTTGACTTAGAGAACAGTCTTTGGCAATGGTGCGAAAGTAGCTGCTTGTTTATTCCCTATAGTTTTTATCACCTTGTTGTTTTGTCGCAACATAGCTACTCCGCACGTCCTAATTAGCAGGGCAGTGACTGCCTATCGTGCTGTTTCTTTTGCATTCCTGCAATGAATTAGTAATTGGGTGCCCGCTGCATAGGTCTCTGGTTGCTATTCTTGTTTATTACCTAAGTCGTTTTGCTTTACTGCAGTCTCACGGGCCCCTTTCTAACCTGAGTCCCTAGTCCGTAATGGAAGTGGAGTGTACATAGTATGCTCTTCCCAGGATGCTGCCGACCGCACTGGTTACCTTAGGGGTCGTTCGGGCTTCCGTGGTCAGTTATCCTGGACAGCGCTAGGTCTCAGAGGCTCGGCGTCGGTACGTGTGCGCTTTTTGTACTTTTGTCACTTGTGTCTGGGCTTTTCGAAGCGGCACACGTACGGTCCCTGGAGTCTCCCTCTCTCTAGTCTTCGAGTTCTGACGAGTTCCCTGCGGTGCGACACGTTTCAGCTGGGCGGGTGGCAAAATGACTATTACTATTTCCATTTCCATTTCCATTTCCATTTCCATTTCTATTTCTATTTCTATTTCTATTTCTATTACTACTACTACTGCTACTACTGCTACTACGGCTACTACTGCTACTACGACTAATATTACGACTACGACGACGACTACTACTCGTACGATTACTGCTGCTGTCATAGCTTCGCCAGGTGGGCACCAAAAAGCTACTACGTGCTGTCACTCGTACTGTTACGACTACGCTAGTTTTGCTAGTTTGATTTGTGCCCGTCATAATGTTCAGAGTGAGAGCGAAAAGTGTCGATTTGAGAATAAATCTGCTTGTTAACAACATCCCGCCGTTCACAATAATTAACGATGTGATGATGATGATGACGACGGTGAACACGTTCTGTTGCATGCTTCGGTAAGCTAAATTTAGCGGCTCCCGCTTGCTATCTTTTGCTGATGTCCGTAATGTATCCCACAACGGGCAGTCTGTGCAAATTCGTTATTTCCCTTTTTCTGCTTCTGACGCCACCGGGAAGACTATTGATTGACTGCCTGGCCAAAACCCCCATGCGAAAGCATTTTCTCCAAAACAAAGATGTCCAAAAAAACACTGCGACCACGGAAGGTTCCAGAACAACTTTTCATTTTCTGAAAGCCGTACTTGAGCGTTTGCAGAGCACGTGTTCCGAAATCCTTGTGTCCATAACTAGGCAAGACACAGTCTCCAAACAAACTCTGGTCCAGGGAAGGAAGACACAAGCTTGTGCAAGCCCGGAGGTTGACTGTTCCAAATCGCCCACCACCCCCCTCCACCTCTCCAAGCCCAGGTTTCTTGAGGGAGTCGGTGTTTTGAAATTCCCAAGCGCAAGAAACGCAGGATCCGTCATCAGAGCGAAGTTGTTGTTGTTGCTGCTGCGGCTGCCGCCGCTGCCATTGTTGTGGTTTTGAATGTGGGTGGGATTATGAATGTGGGTTGTGGTGGTGGTGGTGGTGTGGGTGGTGCTAGTTGTTGGTGGTGCCGGGGTGCCGGTGTTGGTGCTGGTGCTGTCGCTGTTGTCATGGACTGTCGCTGTGGTGGCGGTGGCGTGGTCCTGGTGCTGGCGACCATGGTGCTGATGCTGGTGCTGGTGTGGGGCCATTATGGCTCGGCACGGTGTCTGCCCGCGGATCTTGTGAAGTTCATGGCAGCGCAAAACAGAAGTGGTTGATGCAACGCTCTGTCCAGGTTCAATGTTTCAGTCTGAGTTGCTCGTGATCATAACAGCTTCGGTCTTCGCGAACCGGTGCAGCACGGCATACAACGGCGAGGATATCGTGAAAGACATCACAACCATTGTGGGCCAAGTCTGGGTTTTTGGCCAGGTGTTTCTTTTCAGCATGCTGGGCAGCAAGATGACTTTGGATATCTTGCCTGAGCTGAAAAGCTTGGCCCCTGTAATGCTCTGCGGGCTGCTCGCACGTTCACTGGGTATCAGCCTTGGTGTCCTTCTCACGTTCACGAGCCGCAGGAGGACGTTGAGCCAAGTTCCATCAGACATCGGGTTTTGCTTTCTGTGCACACTGCCACGTGCGACAATTCAGGGTGCTCTGGGTGCCGAGCCGCTAAAGCAGCACTTCTTCCACATCGGGTATGGCAACAACAGTGCAGTTCAGAACTTCACCTTTACAGCTGCAAGGCTGTATGTGTTATGCTATTCCGTCATAGGTATGATACTCTTGAACGGCTTCGGGCCAATGCTGCTTCGAAGTACCGAGAAAGAAGAATCCACGCGTCCGCTGGTGGCCGATGACTCTGAGAACCCGTCCGAGAATACACAGTTGGCAGACTCGCCACAGGCACGCGAAATTTTGGCAGCTCAGGGCTGTGTTTGCATTAAGCAGGTGTCTTGTTACCACATCAGCAATCGACATGTTGCGTGTAGCGAGACAACCTGCCGGCTTTGCGCTCGGCAGGTCCAGCCAGCGCAGCACGAGTCCTCTACACCGCAACTGCAGAAGGTTCCGTCCCGCTCGGCCAGCTCGACAGCATCAGGGGAGTCGCACTGGCAGGAGTACGGAGTGGCAGCAGCTAGCGGTTTCGCTCTTCCTCGCTCCTGCAGCCTTTAGATGAAAGCTTCTCTCTCTCTCTCTCTCTCTCCGCGGCCCGGCAGGACAAGGGAGGCATGTTGCACACGTTCGAGTCCCGGAATTCCACGTGGCGCCCTTCATGCGAAGTACTCCCAGGCTACAAAACAACCTGTCGTGCAACGGCCTCCGAGAAGCGCCCTGTCGGGGATGAGGCAGTGAGAGTTCTGAAGCCAACTTACTTGACCTTCAAAGTGCCGAAGAGATCTGCGATGCAGCGGATGGGGGAGTTTATACGCCGTGGCGATTCTGGAGGACGTGTCCACGAAGTCCCAAACCCAAACCCTTCGCAAGGAAATATTCCCGTGATCTTATCCTCTAAGTGGAAGGAGGGAAAGGAGGTGACCTGTTACTTCGGTCCTGATCCTGACTTCTTGGTCCGTGCCGATCCTTCAGCGGATGAAAGGCCAATGACATTCCGGCTCAGAACGAAAGGAAAAGTGGAAACCATCACCATAAGATTCCCTCCCCTCGTCAAAGAGGCGCAGTTCGAGCCAAATGCTGTGATGGTGCAGGTGCCGGAGAATGCGAGGCCGGGAGCTCCGTTGGTGTTCAAGCATCCCACCGACAAGCTCTGGCTGCAGTTCGAAATTCCCCAGAAAATTCCGGCAAATCGTTTCCTAGCTGTCGCGCTGCCGTCGGCAAAGTATGTGTCTAAGTCAAACGAAGACTATTGCTCCTTCATCAACGAAATGTGTGATGAGATTTACGCTGAGTTTGTGGAAACATTGCAAACGCTTGAGAGTCTGTGCACCTTTCGCATCCAGCCGTAAGCTTCAACCGGCGACGGTGCGGAGAATGCGGCCTGACTCCCAAGTGACTCAGCTTGGAGGTTCGGAGGATTTGAGTTTAAAACTCAAGCCCTCTTTCTGATAGCTGCTAGGCTAGTAGGCTCTGGACGGTCCTAGATGTGTGACACCCAGCTGCTGCCGCAACCTTAGTGGCCACAGCCAGAAAGTCCACCAAAGATTCTGTTCCCGTCTTGGCCATCCTAATTCGCGGAACTTACATTGGGTGCACGGAGCTGAAAAACAAGTCGTGAGCACAGCTTCATTCGAGAAATAGGTGGCACGCTCCGCTCTCCCTTGCCCCTTGACGTTGTTTGATGGCATTTGGGCTTGAAGCATTGGCACGGCGCCACTGTCCGTGGAGGCTGGGCTCCGAAGCGCTCCGACGCACTTCGCTGCGAAGGAAAAAGCTTGCAAAATTCTTACTTGGCAGGTTCTGGGGCCCTGTCGAAGGTTCCAAGCTGAGCAAGGCCTTGCTGAATTGATGTTGCTGCATGAGACGCTTTCTGCACCAGCGATGTCCAAGAGCTGAGAAGTAAGAAGTTCTGGTGCGCATAGGATTGATCCAGCTTCTCACAATCTGCAGCGGAGGTATGGCAGCTACATTTTTGCCACCTGACAACGTGCAGAAAGGCAGCTCACAGCTTTAGATGTTTTCTGGTGGCTGTGTGGCGAGAGCTCTCTTGCTGTGTCTCCATTTGCTCGTTTACAGTTAACGCTTCAGGCGGCAACAACGGTTTCGCGATGCAGTACGGACCGTCTGCAGATGGATGCAACGGAAAGCTAGTCTGCTAGTGCGATCATCCCGCCCCTCCGAACGTCTTCTGTTTGGTTGCCTCGCCGTGCAAAGCTGTGCGCGCATGTTCCGCGAATTTCCAGGCAGTTTCATGCTGCCTCGGAAAACAAGTCAACGCATGCAGGAATGTACAACAACACTGACGAAGTGTACGGTCAAGCGCCGTACTTGAGTCGAGGCTGCAGTTGGTTTTGCAATGGCCTCGATCGTGCGGCTTTCCCGGCAGTAGCTGCAGACTCTTGCAGGGAAGATCTTGTTTTCGAGAAGCTGAGGAATAACAACGGCTTCAACGCTGCTAACAACTTTGCTGACAACAACTATGCCTACCAGGATGCAGTGAAAGCATACAACAATGGTGGGTGCAACATGCCGGGCTACCCCCAGAACGGATTTGGTGGAGGTTTCCAGCAGCCGGAGGCACAGATGGGCTACGGGTTCGGCTGGCGCCAGGAGTACTCGCAGGGAACAGGCCCCGAATACGAAGCACAGGAGCTCTGGACAGCAGAGGCAGATGAAGAGTTTGCCCAAGTCCACGTCTTCGGACCGCAAGGGGAGCAGGTGCCAGGAGCTGTTACCACTTTTCAGCAAGCTCAAGGGATGTTCCCGGACATCCTTGTCCACAAACTGATAGAGGCAGGCTTCACAGCGCCTACACCTATCCAGGCTCATACTTGGGCCATTGGAGTGGCTGGTCGTGACCTGATTGGCATCGCTAAGACAGGCAGCGGCAAGACTCTTGCGTTCCTGATGCCTGGGTTCCTGAAGATCACGCAGACCCGGTCCAGGCTCTCGGGTTCATAAGAGAGCGGGGGAGAGAGAGAGAGAGAGAGAGAGAGACCCCTATGACCTTGATACGCATGGACTGTGGAGGGGGGCCCAAACCCCTTAGCAAGCAAGCAAGAGTGAACCCTAAGCGCGGCAGAAAGAAAGAGAGAGACACACGCCACCAGCTGTACCTAACGGGGGGAAACATTCCCCGCTCCTACGACCCAAAAGCCTCTTCCCACTGCACAGACGGGGATTGGGGCACCTTGGGACCCTTCCCCAGCGGAGGGAAGAGAGAGAGAGAGAGAGTCACATTCGGTGTAAGGGGTATCCCCTACGCCATAGCCCTGGCGAAAGAAAGAAAGTCACTTGCAGGCTGCCGCAGCTCTGCGTTCTGGCGCCCACCCGGGAGCTGGCCTGCCAGATCGAGTCCGAAGCCGACCGCTTCGGCCGTGCTGCCGGAATCCGGACAGCCTGCTGCCCCTCGGCGACAAGGCTTTCGTGCCGAGCATGCGAGGCAAGACAGTGTATGCTAGCTAGCTAAACGATCGTGGATTGAAACATCGCAGGTGTTGAAGCGAAGGTCTCTTGAATGGCTGTTGCAATCTCGGCGAGCGGCCACCGCTATAACGCGGGGAAAGTTTGAAGTGCCCACCCATCCCACCTTTGCTAGAGATCTGCGGGAAATCCGTCCACACCCTCGGAAAAGAGTGTCGTGCTAGCGAATGCAGTTGTGCAGTGCGTGCCCCAGCTCGCGAGTCCTGTGACATACCCCTGGTAGGAGGTGTTGCAGGCAGCAGGTTAAACAGGTTGATCTAGAAGCCAGTGTGCGGCAGCGCCTGGGACCAGAGAGTCCACATTATAGATATTCCTTGCGAGTGCGACCCAGGCTATGGTGGTGCACCTCGGGGCCAGCAGCTTGGTGCCCTACGCCGGGGGGCGCAGGCCATGAAGTTCTGACCAAGGGTCTGGCTGTAGTGTAGTGACTTTTGCAGAGGCCCTGAAGTGCTGTGCAGGTGATTGTGGCGTGCCCGGGAAGATTGAATGACTTCTTGTCTAGTGGAGCTGTGAATCTGTCCAACGTCTCCTACCTGGTCTTGGACGAAGCAGATCGGATGCTTGACATGGGTTCCCGTGCAGCAAGAATCTGCTTGTTGTGAGGTTTGAGCTTTGCATAGCCGTAGACATGCGGGTCACGAAATGCCTCCAGGCTTCGAGCCGCAGATCAGACAAGCCCTTCCCTGAGCGCGTGGGTAGCAAGTGGTAAGCATGAACCCTGTAGCCAGAGCGACGTCTGCTGGGGGGTGTAACACGGAGGTCATTCAGCAAGTCCCGGAAGACCGGCAGACACTGCTGTTTACCGCCGCCTGCTTTGTAAGGGGACCACGTCCTGTGCAAGCCATCCCTTCACAGTCCTTAGTCCTTGGTTGGCGGAAGTTGCCAGTAAACAACTCCGAGGCGACATGGCCCAAGGAAGTTCGCTCGTTGGCCAGCGAGTTTCTGAAGCGACCATTCCACGTGCAAACCGGAGCGGTCCATGAGATGACCGTCGCTCGCTCTGAGCTTTGGAAAGGCTTCGAGGTCTCCAGGTTGGCCTCAGCACACTGGCATGTGTGCGTGTGCTTCTGATAGGATTTGGTCCCTCACAGGTAAACAAAGACATCGAGCAACGTGTCGTCTTCTGCTCTGATGAGGAGGACAAGGCAACCGGCCGCAGCCAGTCAACATGCAGTGCATCAAGACACGATGTCGAGGGTGGGAGTATGCAGGCCCAGCAGCTCCTTCAGATTCTGTCCTCACTCGGGCGTGGAGACCGCTGCTTGATTTTCTGCGAGATGAAGCGCGACTCGACCGCACGAGACCGAGGCGAATCTGACACTTTTGAAGGGATTGAACCTAAGCTTCCCGGCAGCTTTTGCCGCCGGTTGGCTTGCAAGGTGAGCCGAGACCTTACATTCTGGTTCTCCACAGGACATGTTTTCGGCTCGACTGTTTCCGCTGCCGGGGCAAGATGTCTAGATTTTTCGGAGTCAGCCCTTGTCCTGTTCGGCGTTCTTAGAACATTGCTGGAGACCCAACCCTGGTGAACAACATCCCTGTCATTCTTCATATTGCCATTCGGGGAGGGTTTCTTCTTCCTTACCGCCCCAGCCATGACTGTCGGTTGCTACTCTGTGCTCGCCTAGCCGCGTCGATCACGGGGGCCGGGCCGGAATGCAAGGCTCAGTGGGACGTCCTCCGAGCCATGCCATTGTCTTCGGAGGAATCGCTCCAGAAGGCTTTGCTGCTAGAGCGAGCAGTCCGCCAATTCGTGTTCACACGAGCCCAGTCCACACCCGGGGCATCACTTTCGTGAGTCCAGTGCCACTCACACCAGTGCAAGCACAAGGCTTTCGCCTGCAAGCCCGCAGTCCCTCGCCACAGAGGGCCGTTCCTGGCCTGCGCGCTGTTTCGCCGTATGCTTTTCGGCCAGATGCTCATGGCGTCCCACCATGGAAGATCGAAGCCGTGGACCCGGTTGCGAGCCCTCGTCCACAGGCAAGGTCGGCAATGCCGGCAGACCGACCTATGGCTTGCAGCACTTGGGCTAACAACTTTTCACCACGGCGTGTGCACAAGATGGACAGGGTAGCGGAGGAAGAGTGTGAGTCTGTCATGTCAGCGTCTGTCCCAACGGAAGGTGCACCGTCCAGCGTGAACGGGCATGGACCTTCCTGGTCGGTCGTGGATAGGTCTGGCCGCGCTTCGGCTGCAGCTTCGGTAACAGAGGCTACCAGCACCCAGAACGAACCACCACCCAAGTCGGGTGGTACAGGAGGTGATGCACTGCAGCTGGAGGCCTTGCTCGCCGAGATCACAAGCCTCCGCCAGCAGAACGCGGGGCTGCGAGAGGAACAGAAACGCCTGACCGAGGGCTTGCATCAAGAACACGGCGAAAGCGGTGCAGAGATGCAGACTAGGAACAAGAAGCTGGAGCAGGATGCCCGCGACATGCTACAGCAGTTTGAGGAGTTCGAGAAAGAGAAGGCAGAGGAGCTCAGAGAGTGCCAGGATGAGATTGCGGCCCTGAATGCCAAGCTCGCAGAACAGGAGCTGGCAATGAAGCGCTTCAAAGTGGACGTGGAGCGTGAGAGAGCACATCTTCTTCAATCCATGGCAGACGAAACAGGGGAACTGCAAGGTCGAATCGACAAGCTGGATAGGGACAAAGACGCCTGTCAGATGGAGCTTGCCAAGGCCTTGGCGCGCATCGACATCCTCTCAGCGCAGGGAAGGGGACATCCGAATCCCGATGGCCTCTCGGAGGACCCTTCCTTGAGCCAGCTCCGCTCGGTGCAAAGTGAACGAGAGGCGCTCAAGGATGAGGTCACGAACAAGGATGGACAGATTATCCTCTTGCGCAGCCAGCTCGAAATCGCAGACAGGAAGCTCCGACTCTCGGATATGGAAAATGCCATGCTGAAGAGTGAGCTTGAGCTCCGGAAGCGGAGTGCATCTTCTCAGGCATGAGCACGGCTGCGCAGACCCGCCACCTCCCACCCCTAGGCCAATCGGCTTCATACCTGCACTTCGAAGAACTGCATTGATTGCAATTCAAGTTTCCTTGTTCTCAGTTATTAATGTTTCGAGCCCGATGCTGGCTGGAGCCGGGCACTGCTAACGCCCAACAACCTGAGAAAAAGCCTGCGTGGTGGTGGACGTGCTAGAAGTCTCTGCATAGTGGTGGAGTCAGGCTCAGGCACACCTCGAATTATGACACCGGGGGTTCACAAGGCAGCTCTCAACTTTTGAGCTTGGAGCCAGGTGTGAGAGTCGAGGATGCAGCCTTTGCAGGGAGACTTTTCGGTTTGAGAATGTTGGCTTCTCCAGGTTCTTGCGAGATCTTGGCGAATGATCTGATGCAGTATCACGGGGTGCCTGCGGTTCGCATCCACGGAGACATGGCCCAGTACGAGCGCACCGGGGCCCTGGAGGCGATGGCACACTTCAGACATAGATCTAGCTGTTCGCGTAGATACTTAGACTTCGATGATTAAATGCTGTGCGAACGATTTGTGTGTATATGTGCTTCTACATAGACAGATAGACAGATCGACAAGTGCTAGGCCTGTCCAGCCAAGCTCGTTGGCCATGTCAGGCCTTCAAAAGCGGCCAGAGCCCGATTCTTTGTGCGACGGATGTCGCTGCACGTGGACTCGACATCAAGGCACGCAAGACGAGCAGCGTCATGCGGAAGCCTAGCGCTTTTAGCAGTCGGTCGCAACCACGATGGAATCGTTGATCAGCGAGACACCAGCTGACACGGGATGTTTCACTGGCCTGCCTCAGTTGTCATGCTGCGCAGGGTGTCACCTGCGTTATCAACTACGATTCCGCAAGTTCGGCAAAGGACTACGTCCACCGCACCACAGCCGCATACGGCCGATCAAAATGTGCTGCATGTATTCTTAGGTAGTTTCCCAGAGTGATTAGTTGCACCTACTTTTGTCACAAAGCTAGACAGGTTGAGCCAAGTTCTAAAAATGTTCTACGTTTCTTAATGCAGACACTGCAGAATGGCAAAACAATGCAAACTGCACCGAACTGACCAAAATTATTGGAAAATATACAATATCGAAAAATTACGACGCTATTTTTCCAAATGGTTGCGTTGTTAGTTGCACCAGTCACTTGTCCAGTTTGATTTCTGAGGCTTTCAAGCTGGTTTTGGAAGTCTGGTGGAGGGTGTGCGGAAGTGTGCGGTGGCCTTTCCAACACCCTGAAGAGTGTTCGGGGACCCTTTTACACTCCAACGTGCGCAAGTGTGCGTTCGCGTGCGCCTCCGGTTGGCCTGACCCAGCTCTATTTTGAGTTTTGGCCATTGCTGGTGCAACTAAAGTCTGTTCAACAAAAAGAAAACGTTGACTAAATTCATGCATCGAATTCGAAAAAAAAAAGGAAAAACAAACAAGTACCACAGAAGCTGGCACTGTTGAAACACAGTGTTTTTGAAAGGTTTAGAAACGCAAAGAGCTGCATGGTCAATCCAAAGCCTTTCCAATTTGAATGTTGGCCAGTTCCACTGTTCTGTTTGAAATCATGCGTTTTGACACCACTATGGGAAACTACCTATGTATTCTGATACCTAGACCTTTTTCTCCTGGCCGTTGCGTAGGCAAACGTCACAATGGTGCCGCGCAAGTCGGTGAAGCGGTGCCTGGTTGCATGCTTTGAGTGGCTGAGGAATTGGAAGGACTGGGCGCGCCGGTCGGGCCCCTGTGGAGGATGCACAGCTTCAAGATTGCTCCAGCTACAAGTTCGGGCGTGATTTGCGACGGCAGCTGTTGCGGGGGGGGGGGAAGGGGGGCATGCATTGCATGTCTGCTTTGGTGCCATGTTACATCGGTCAGGTCAGAAAGGGTTGGCCTATTCCTTGCTCTTGCTCCACAAAGAGGAGACTCACGATTCACCTTGCACATGACTCTGCGCAGATACGGTGTCATGCGGCCTTTGCAGGGTTTATCGTGCATTCGTTCCGTTCTTCCATAGGACAAGAAGGCCTTCGAGATCGCTTCCGTTCTTGTTCGCAGCGGAGCGGTGGTTCCCCCAGAGTTGGAGAAGTACGTCGCGGCCCCAGTGCTCGGTGAGCTTTGCGAACAGTGCACTATGCGATGCTGAAGCAGAGGCCACACAGCAGTCTGGTGGCAAAGGAAGGGGAGGCAAGGGCAAAGGCCGACTGGGATCCGTTTTTCCCAGTGTTCTGGGCTATGCATCCGTCGCCACCACGGCTCTGGAGTCCCTTGCCGCAACGGCCAGGCAAGGGCAAGGGCAAAGGCGGAAAAGGCAAAGACGGCAAGAACGGCTCCAAAGGTGGCAGAGGTAAGGGAAAGGCTGGAGCCAAAGGCCAGAGCCCTGGAGAGTGATTCGCAAGAGCTGTTTGCCCATCCATTTTCCTTGACACGGTGCGCATGTCTTGTGCAGCTCAAGCATGGGAACTTAAGAATGTTGTTCAAAGTGTCTTCTTGCCAGGAAAGCCTCCAGGGCCTCCCAGCCAGCCAGGACCCTAGGGCCCTAGGCCCTAGTTTGGCAGATGGAGTCTGTCCCCTACCAGGACCAACGTGCGGCGGAAGTTTCTCTGCTCCAGCTAAGGTTTTGATTGGCTGGCAAGTCGAGACGCGTCACCGGCAGTGAGATCAGAAGCCTTGTGGCATGCTGTTAGGGTTGCCTATTGTAGTCGTACGCGGATGTCAGGTGTAAGTTTCGGTTTGCAGTGGCGTGTCTCCGTTTTGGGCAGAAGTGCAATGCTTTGCCACCGCACTTCGTGTCACCAATACGACAAGCCAGTTGGCTCCCACGCGACGAGCGCCTTGGCCAGGTCTGTCTTCCACAGACGTAAAGGTTGAGCACATGTTGATATCATAGACTTCCCAGGCCTGGTACTAAGATACTAAACTGATCTTCCGACTGCTCGTCTACGATGAGCCAATTTCTTTCAGAGTTCTCTGATTTCTCTGATTTGCAAAGAAGGTTCAGCCACAATTTTCCTGGTCAGACCTCGAAGAAAGGCAGACACAATGCTTACACGCCGGCTGCCAGTCTCAGCACAACAACCAAACAGGAGAAGATCTATGTTTGGTCAAGTGCTATTCAATCTGCACCGATATGTAGAGTATACAAACCGTGGTATTATGTTGTCAATCTTGCAATTGCCGCAATCGATGATTTACTCAACAGGCTGGTTCTCTGTCTGCTCGGCTGCCGTGTTGACAGCTTAACGCTTTGGCTTCGGCTTGGGTCAGCGGACGGGCGCGTGCCTAGTAAGCTAGCAGACCTGGCATCATTCCTTCGTACTTCAAGACATGTCAAGACCCTTTTCGACCTGCTCCTCCAAGCCATTGGCCTCGCCAGGCTGCCGTAGTGTCCAAGACAACTCATGCGACAAGCGGCCCCTGGCATAACCACGTTCAAGCGTGCAGCTAAGCATCTCCAAAGGGAGGCAAGTATGGTGAGGTTGTTGCCGGTGCAATGCGCCGCAAGCAAACGACCTGCACCTTTTAGAACTTCATACTGTCAGCGTGAAGGGCCGACACCGCCATGGATTTCCAGCTAAAGCATCAGTACCGCATCGTGGCCGGAGAAGTCCAGCAAGCCATCACAAGACTTGTCATGCTTCACTGGTACCGTCTCTCTGCACGCTGTACACATTCCGTCTCCTAGCAAGTGATTGCAGAGACAGCCGTGGCGCAACAGGTTTATGCGCCAGCCGGCGTCAACCTTCATGGGGTTTGGGCGGAAGGGGGCTCGTTGCGCATCCTTGATCCTTTTCAGCAGCCAAAGAGTGCCTCTTTCGTTTAAGCCAAGTCCATGAAGCTGGAAGGAGCTGCTTCTTGCCAGCTCAGCCCGTTCTGCCGATCGAGCAAAACAGCCATCTTCCCGCAGTGTGCATTTTACTCGTGAGTCTGTCTGATATGCATACTGAGCGAAAAGTTGTGCTTCACCCCTTACAAAACCTGGTTCGCATGTTTCTGCAAATTTGGGCTCCAGAGGGATTTGTGGAGTTGCGCTCCACTTGTCCCCTCCTGGATTGCTAGGAAGGCACGATTCCTGTTTGCATTATGAAAATGTTCGCTTCAAAGAACAAAGTGTCAGAGCAGCATGTCCAGGCACTGGAGTGCCTTTCCACTGGTGATAACTTGGTAGCCGGCCTGGACGAAGCAAAGCAAGCACTGTCTTCCTGTGTCACCAGCGGCTTGCTCCGAGGTTTTTCGTCCTACCGCATTGGTGCGCCAATGCAGTACCTTAGTTTCAATGAGGCAGGACTTGAGCAGACTAGTTATCACCTGGATTCTTGATTCTGGCCGCATGTCACTTTGATGATGTATTCGCCGTGGCAGGCTGTAGGTGGCAAGGGCCAAATCAAGGGCCTCCCTGAAGCCTGGCCGACTCGCTTGTGATACACATGTTAGTAGTGAAAAGGGAGGCGCGTCGCTCTGCCAGATGTGAGGCCAGGGCCAGGTTTGACGAAAAGAGTGAATGCAAGGGGTTCCACAGCCGCACAACTTGATGCGAGCGCGGCAGGGGCCACTAAGTCACTAAGCCATGCAGGGAGCATCAACAAATTTCTGCGAGACTTCGCCCCCAATCGATGAATTATCAATCCCCCTGAAGCGGAAGAGTCCGAATGTTGGGTCAACGATGTTGCCTTTGAAGACCACGCCAGGAAGACAGCGACACACAAAGGGCGCTGCTGGAGCTGTTTTCCTGTGTACTGAGGGGTTGAAGTCTGCTGACATGCTTGTAGGGTAGTTGTGTAGCAATGTGCACCACAGAATGGCCTGCGACATCGCATCAGGCTGGTTCATGGATAATAGACGTCCGTGTGCTGATAGATGCTGGTGTACCAGTATGTAGCCCAAAGCCTTGGATAATGCCCTAGCAGACAGTTTGCAGTGCTGCCGGTGCTTCTTGGTGGCACCTGCCTGTTGTACGACACTCGCCTTAAGTGTTGGGATTTGTTTTAGCCGCTTCACACATCTGTTGACTCGTGGAAGTGATATGTTGCGCGCTGCCAGCGGAATCTGCAGGACCCGATGCCTTTGAGAGACACCTGGGTACTTTGGGAGCAGGCTGACTTGCATTGCCAATTGCAAGTTATGGGTCATGAGGCGTGCCTTTGCACTGCCCGCAGGCTGTGCCGCCAAGTGATGGCAAAAGCCACGAACCTACACACCCGAGAAACATTCAGTCCTTTTGGCTTGAGTTGTTTGGCTCTTCAGGTTCGGCCTACGCCGACTCCATGAAGGAGATCGTGCCGTTCAAGACTGCGCAGGACTTTGTTTGTAGAGTGTGTTCCTTGTAAGGTTCTGCAATCTGGATCGGCGATGGTTTCTTCCCGTCACGAGAATGTGGTTCAGTGATGTTCAGCAGATGCCATCCTGCCAGTCCAAGTGCCGCCGCAGGAATTCTGGAGCATCTGGAATGGGGTCAATGGCTCAGCGCGCGTGGCGATGAATCTGCTACCTGGGTGTCGGTAGCAGCTGCTTCAAGAGGAAGAGTTATATGCTGCGGGACGCCTGCCCCAGAAAAAGGGCATCCTGTCAATCGCTTCGTTCCAGGTGCCTCAACCTAGTGAGCTTCTGGATAACAAGCGCATCACGAGAGACAATGACGACCTGGCATGTATTGGCTTGCTGCGCTCAAACTCAGAGCATGGACGTAGACCAGATATGTTTACGGCTCCTGGGTGCATATGTTGCACTTGTGTAACCGGTCTTGTTGCAACATCACAGGGGGGCAACCCCACGGCGATCGATGCCATCATGATCTTCAAGAAAGGAGTATTGCTCTTAGCTATTGCTCTCGCTGAGGTTGAGCATATGGAGCATAGTGCTTTCCTCTCCGGCTGAACTTCAATATTCATGGCGTCTAATGGATGACAGCTGCAAAGGAGCAACAGGGCGTGTGAATGCCAGGCGGCAGTTTGCGAGCACATGCGAAGATTTTTCCTGCAAGGTTCGACCAGAGTGGGAGGACCCTCTAAATGCGACTGGCGGGCATTTCCAGGCCGATGTGGAAGAGGGGCTCAGTTTCCGTGGATAAGATAAACCCCCACCCGCGTCAGGTCCAGCTCAAGTCTAGCATTGGCGGAGCGCAGATAGACGAGTACTGGAACAACATCGTTCTGGGCATGGCTCAGCCCCCGGAGCAGTCCCAGAGAGGGAAACCTATGTTCAAGCCTTGTATTGGCTCGTGATGCTGATTTTGGGGGCCTGTTAATGCCCAGGTCGGGGGCACTATTGAGCCCTATGACATGATCACAGGAGTGGTAAGCCCAGGCTGTGTCAGCAAGTTGTCCAGATTTGGCAAACAGAGCCCACTTCTCCCTGTTCGCTCCAGCGAACTTGGACCCTCCCAGGTCCGGCTAGTGGACAAGCTTTCAGGAGCAAAGGCCGCCTGCCCGACCTCGCAACCTGGAGGGGGAGCTTGCGTTTGCAATCCCACCAGGCTGCTGGAATCCTGAGGATCGAACTTTGGTTCACCAAGTGCGCTGAACAAATTCCCTTGGCAAATGTTGTTGTTGGGTTTATGTTGCCGCCCATCAGGTACGACAACCAAGATGCAGTCAATGCATTAAAAAAGAGCATGGTCGGGATCTTGATCGGCAGCACCAGACTAGACCACTCGCTGGATGATGGCATAGCTACGTGGCCGGTCCTGCTAAACGGCAGACACGCTGACAGCTAACGCTTAGGCTCACACTTTGATTCATGGCCTGGATGCACTCATCTTTGTTTGCCGACGCATTGCATGCTTGATGAGGAAAAGACCATGTGTGAAAAGCTGGACGGCACCCCGGGGACTGCAGTGAAGATAGAGCTGAAACGCGTGGGCCCCGGCTGTGCATCGAAGATATTTGGCAAGTGGGCATGCGCTTCCCTCCCAGCCCCTGTCCCGACTCGTCCAGACCTTCAGAATTGAGAGGCAAACCGTGCCTGTAAACCTCATACTGTAGCGATTGGAGCTGGTTTCTTTCCGCAACCTCACGAGCCCAATGCGTTCCGATGACGTCAACAAACCCATGACAAAGCCTCGCTGCCAGCTCACGTCTCTGCCGGGAAGCACTGAGGGAGGCCTTTCTGCTTTGGCCGGATCGGCCCCGGCTTTTACTTTGCCACGGCTCTAGGAATGCCAGCGAGTATAATGACAGTTCACTGATTGGAACCCTTTGACGTTTTTTATGTGATAGTCGCAGCCGCACAGCAGGAGGAGGACTAGAAGTAGAAGTCGTGGTCGCAGTCGCAGCAACAGGAGCAGTAGCAGTACTTGGTGTTAGAGTAAGGAGTAGGAGTAGTAGTGGGAGTAGGTAGTAGGAGTAGGAGGAGGAGGAAGAGGAGGAGTAGAAGTCGGAGTAGGGGTAGGAGTAGCAGGAGCAGGAGCAGGGGCAGGGGCGGCGGGGCAGGGGCAGAGGTAGGGGCGGCGGGGCAGTGGCAGAAACAGTAGCGGTAGAAGGGGTCTTCGTCGTCGTCGTCGCAGTAGGAGTCAGAGCAGCAGTGGTAGTTGCAGTTTCATACGTGGTCGTAGCCGTAAAGACACTGTAGATGGGTCTTGTCGACTGGCACACATAGCTCAGACTTCTGCACGAAGCCACTGGCACATACTGGCACCTTGAAGGTAAAAGCCGGCAACAGTTTATGCAGTTTCTGTTGGGGTTCAGCCTTCGTGTCTTGAATGCTTCCTGACAGTTGTGTAACGCCAAGTTCCACATACATGCGGGCGTGTCTTTTTAGTGCTCGCCTGATGTCACATTGGAGAGGCACAGCTGAACTCGATTTAGCACTTGGCAGCTTCGGAATCTGGTGCTGCCTACGAGAGCACATTGTGTTAAGCTAGGCTGCACGTGCCTAGACACAGGCATGAGCCTTTCCAAAAGCTAAACTAAAGAAGGGGCCAGCCGAGAAGATAATCCGAGCTGCCGAGTCTACGCCCTGCGCCCCGCAGCATGTGAGCCAATGTCGGAACTCAGGAAATAGGATTTGCAACTTACAAATAGGGGCCCGAAGGGCCGGCCGATTCACCAAGGGAAAGACCTTAACGCTCGGACAAGCTTCGCTTTACTGGGGCTCTGAGTCTTGACAGCGGCCCACGACTCATGTAGATCGATATCTTGCCAAGGCCGGATGCTCACTTTGCCAAGCGTAGCTCTGGCAAAATTTTGCGTAGCTTCTCACCCGGCATTCCCAAGGCTAGGACAGACTTCAAGTCTACCCGGCGGATTCAGCTGCGGCCGGAGGACTCTTGACTATAAGGAAAAGAGCCTCTACACACTTCAACATGAGACTCTCTTACGCCTGGTGTTCCTAGGGCCGCTACTGTAAGCCAGTCAGCCTGGCTCTCGCAGCGTTTCTTTGCACCGCTCCGAATTTGCCAGCCAAGTCAAAGACACAAGCAAGCGCTTGATTTACATGCTGGCTTTCATGTCGCTGTCCTGGCGAAATGGCCAAAACGGCCGGTTCCCAGCAGATGCATTTCCGTAAAGCCCACAATATCTCAACATGAATGCCAATCTATGCCCGGAACAGAAACCCTTTCGAAGGTAAGCCAGGGCCAGCGGCATCGCTTCGCACAGTGCTGATGCACTTTGACGACTTTTTGACCTTTTGGTGTGTTCCTCGGAGTGACCACCGACCAGCGCAGGCCTGAGACCGTGGCCGGACAGTGCCACCGGCAGTTGAACTATAGACAGGGCAGAAGCATGCTTGGCAAGACTCTCTTATGCAAAAGTGGGCCCATTGTGCCGTGCGGTTGTTGAAGCCAACAGGCTCGCTTAGCACCGAACGAGTCGATATGGAGTGCAGATGTGCCCGAAAGGGGCCTCGCAAGTTTTGCAAACAAGCAATAATGATGATTTTAGTACAGCCTAGTGAGCCTAGTGAGTGTAATGCTTTACACCAGAGGGTAGCACAGGTGCTGTTTTGCAGACGCTGTTTCGTGTGGATAGCTTAGCCCAGATCACAGAATACTCTCCCCAGTTGGGGATGACATGGCATGTGCATGGGATAGCTTGGAGAAGGATTGGACGGTGTGGCTTTTGCATTATGCAGAAAAAAGAAGTGTGCCCCAAAGCACGTCCTTGTGTCACATGGAAGCTGAAGGAAGACCCGTCAGAAAGAGATTTACAGAGCCAGCACAGCTGGAGGTGATTAGGGCTTGCTGGGATCGCTGCATCGTGCATGCGCAGTGAAAGATGTGTCATGAAGACTCTCCGAACCTCCGCATGCAAAAGGCCGTTCCATGGCTCGAGGAACAGAGCACTCAGTTCGTGCTGCCGCTGTGTTCATGGATGGGTTGCTCTGCCAGCCAGGAGGAGTACGATGAAATTCCCGAGTCTGCTGAGTTCTTCCAGAGGCTGACTCCTGACATTTTCTCACATTCTGAGGGTGTTCATCAACAGGGGCTTAGTGGTTCTGTCTGGTTCACTGTCATAGACTCAGTCTTGCCCCCTCTCCGCTCTGAGAGTTGTGCAAGCTCCAGATGTAGGCCCAGCAGAAGATACCCTCAGGTACGCACTCGGCAAAAAGCTTGGTGAAGGAGCGTTCGGTCAGGTTCGGTTAGCCACGGAGATCACGACGAAGAAGGACGCGTGGAAATGAGCATGCAACAGATACTGTACAAGGGTGTCTTAAGCAGTGTCCTGTGGGAATCTAGGTTCCGAGACGGCCGGCATCTTGTGGCCTGCAGGAATTTGCCGTGAAGGTTGCCGATGCGCGGGTACAGGAAACTCGCAATGTTGTGGCCGCGCCTTAGTTCAATCCTACGGCCTGCTCTTCTGACACGTTTATCCGCAGCGAGTGTATAGTGTGAAAAAGCTGAAGAGTGTGCCTCTGAGCACAGGTGAGCAAGCGAAGAAGAAGAAACCTGGAGCGCGAGATCGCCATGTGGCGCATAGCAAGCGCAGCCAAAGTCTCGCAAATCACTTGCCTAAAGAATGCCTACTACTGTGGTGGATTCTACTACATGGTCTGCGAGAAAGGCCAAAGATCCCCAGCTTTCCCAGCAGCAGTTTCGAAAAGACTCTTCGGTTTTGCAGTTGCTGGCGCGCGGAAGGGGGACACGCTGCGACATAAGGAAACCTCATGCAGCACCTCCTCATGGTCAAGACTCTTACAGAGGAGGAGTTTGCCACGTTAGCCTCAGAGATGCTGCATGGAATCCAGCACCTCCACACGGTAGGGCTTGTGCACAGGGACGCTGGGCAGGAGCTGTGCGTCTTTATCCACATGGTTGAATATGAATCAGTGAGGCTTTAGATGAAAGAATTCTCAGAGTGATACCCAGTGTGGCATCCGAGGATGTGAAGCCGGAGAACTTCTTGTGTGGCGAGAAGAACGGGTTCCAGCTCAAGATTTGCGATTTCGGTCTCGCCCTGAAACAACCGAAGAAGGGGAAGCTCACTGGGGTTGGTGGCACTGCTCCGTATATGGCCCCAGAGACGTTAGTGGTGCCGAAGGGGCTGCGATCCAAACCCAGCTTTCACAAGGAAGCACCGACATGTTTCCCACGTTTTTTCGAGCGTGAACTTCGAGCCTTGCCATTGCTCGAGAGACATGCCGTGTTTGTGAGCGCGCCGTAGCCTGAGTCATGTCCAGGAGGTGGATCTCTGGGCCTTCGGGGTGATCCTCTACCTTATCCTCTTCGGTCGATTTCCCTATATGCCGCCTGGTGAGCCCACGGCTGACAGCATGAAGCAGCTTGCTTATATAGCTTCCTCATCCGTTTACGCTTCGTGGGCCTTGGATCCGTCACCGTCTGGATACCGTTTTCGAAGACCTAAGGCATGCCATCAGAACGAACGACCCGCCTCTCGAGTTCCAAGAGTCACAGTCCTCCCTCGCGCTGAAGCTGACCAGACGTGTGCCACCTGCAGGGGGGCCAGCCGATGCACAGCTGCTGCATGAGATCTAAAGCACATGAACCGGGAACCGAACAGAGCAACCTCAACTAAAGTCAGGATCCATCAGGATCCTACGCAATTCAGAGGCAGCTATCACCCATGTCCTGCGATTTCTGCCAGGTGCTGGTACGAGATCCTCGTCAGCGTGTCACCGCCAACGATGCCCTGAAAGACCCTTTTGTTCTGAAGGCTCGTGCTAGCACTCACGACACTACAACAGACGTTGGCGGCTAGCAAGCGTGAGTTGTGACACAGGCTTCTCACCACGGCAAGCGAGGAAGTGACCTCCAGGTTTCGGTCCGCAACGTGAAGGACCGCCAGATGCACTTCCCGCTGTAGGAGTAGCAGCAGTAGTAGTAGTAGTAGCAGCAGTAGAAGTAGCAGTAGCAGTAGCAGTAGCAGTAGCAGTAGCAGTAGCAGTAGCAGTAGCAGTAGCAGTAGCAGTAGCAGTAGCAGCAGTAGTAGTCGTCGTCGTCGTAGTAGTAGTAGTAGTAGTCGTCGTCGTCGTCGTCGTGGTGCTGGTGGTAGTAGTAGTGGTGGTAGTAGTAGTAGTAGTAGTTCAGTGGAGGACGCGAAGGTAAACATAGACGGCTCTGCCCCGGTGCACAACTACGGTCGTTGGTAGGCTTGCTACTCGAAACTGCGGAGGTTTCCTCCAGGGTCGCGATGGAAACGAACTGCAGCTTCTGTTGGAGCCCTTACGCTACCGCAGGACATGGCCGAGAAGTTGAGGGAGTACCAAATCAGCGAAAACACGCAGCAAGACTTGGAAAGCCGTCTGATCTTTGATCGCACTAGTGGGACTGTCCAAGAAGTTGCTGCTGCGGGAAGCGCAACATGTCATGCAACTTATGTTATGTTTCAGGACCTGCAAACTCAAGTTCTTTCGTGTAAAGAATCGAGGCACAAGGTTGCCTTTGAATTGCTACGGCTGCTACGGTTAGGTATCTTTGGCGTGAATTCCAGGGAAAGTGTCCTTTCACATTGGGAGAGCCAACTTGCTTTCTACATTCAGAACCCGTCGTTT